AGTGTTGCTTCGGAGATTCTCCCGTGTGCTCGTAGTATGGCGCGAGTGGAGCGCCAGTGAGGGCCAAGACCGCCGATGACGACCGTGACGAAGGCGTCTTCTGAAATCGATCCTCCACATCGAAGAAGCTTGTCGCGCAGTTCGCGGCAGTGACTGATATATGCCATGCCCTTCTCGCCCGGTTTCATTTCGATTGTTGTCAGCTGCGCCATTAACCGGCTTTGGTTTACACTGTCTGTTGCTTGATACAGGTTCTTCAAGTGGTTGTACGCGAACTCCGCGGAGTTACCGTAACCTCGGTAATTCCTTATGTTCTGCTGTTGAGTCGGGGTGATGTTCCTCAGTAGTATCGGGTACGCCATCATCGATTGATAGGTGTACTGCTGTTTCTCATACTGCGTGCCGTTTGTTGGACATGGCAGGGACCCGTCGAAGAAGCCAAGGATCTGCGCTCCTTCCATCATCAGCTCGAATTCGAACGACCAGGTAAAGAAATCCTTTCCGTCGAAAGGTTTTGTCGTTTGTAGTTTTAGAACATGCGCGAATTGCCACTGAACTTGTAGTGCGTCCAGCGCTCTTTCTTGTCCCGGTGCAGGTTGTGGTTGTGGCATGAACCTGACGGAACCGCGCTGGGGCTCGTACGGAGCGAAGGTAGGTTGTTGATGTTGATTCCCGCGTGCGTAGGATGAGCCATCGAGACTCATGGGCGTCACGTTGTTGTTGTTGTTGCTGTTGTTTGATTGCGCAGGTACTCCTTGCTGATGCTGCTCGTAGAAGGACATGAAGGAGAAGAATTTCTCCATCATGTTTGGATCGAAGCCCGCGCCTTGGTTTGCGGGTGTTTCGGTAGACCCAGCCGCTGGTCTCGTTGTTGTCCCTTCCTCTGTCTGTAGGCCAGAGGCAGGAGGTGGAGTAGGGGTAGTACCGGGAGAGCCGTTGGAAGAGATCCTCTCCTTTCTAGCAGACATGTCTTCTTGATATATTAAGTGTTGAAGAGAATTTTTAACTCTAACCAGCTCTCATACCATGTTGGGCTGAGACGCCCTAGGATCTTTGTAGAGTTAAAGTCTGAGTAAAAAGATGTAATAGCGGAAGCGTTTGAATAAAGTCCTTGAACCACCTTGCGCTAGTATGTGAGGGCAAAGTGAGTTGATTAAAGCAAAGAGATACAGGAATATATATATATGAGTACAGAGAATATGAAGAGACATAATTGTAACTGTTTTACTGTTGCGGTTCGATACAGTGCGACTCGGGCAACTGCTCAATGTCGAGTCAGTTGTGTGTCCTTGCTGTCGCGCTGCGTCAGGTCAAAGGTCGCTGACCATTGACTTTCTCGTAACCTCCAGCGGTTACGTTAACCTCCGAGGGTTGACTCGCGGTGCTTCGATTTGAGCTGCTTCGCTTGTGTCTTGAGTTTCGACACGACAGAGGCGCTTAAGACTATTTGTTCCCAACAACCTCGACGCCTCGCCACTTGTTGTCGATTACTTGGCGCGCAGGCGTGTTGCGGATATTGACGGCCTTTCTTAAAGGGGGGGGTAGTGTAAGGAATTTTCCCGAATTCCTTATCGGGGTTGACTGCTTCGCGTACAACCCGATTTTCGGAGTTCGCACGTTCGGCCGATTTCAACGCTGCCGAGGCTCCTCGCGTCGCCTTGTATTCTTAGTTCATTCAGTCACAGCCTCGTTATTCGTTTACTTGCGCACTCTCTTTTACAACTCATAACACACTTAATCATTCAATAATGATCCCTGTCAAATACAATAAATGTAACAAATATGGATGATGAACTACAGCCAGTTTCTGCACCAGCATTATCCATACAACCTCATCATGCCATGAGGAATAATTCCTTGCAGCATGAAAAAAAGGCATGCTAGCAGAGCAAAAACAAAATTAATTGCAAGTGGGAAAGATTTTAGCTTGAGAAACGAGGCACTGCGAGCGGTCATCCCATGCTAGGCGTCCGCCGGCTTCCCCTGCGACCATTTCCGGCAAATGATTTGAAGTGCTCAGCCAACTTCGGGGAGGGAGGCCTCCTTCCACTGGCGATCGACATTGCTGGCTCAGTGTAACTGCTGCTCCGAGCTGAAGTCACGATACCAGCCACAGGGGACGAGTAGAAGCTCCTCTCTGCATGGTTACTGCTCCCTTCAACGTATCTTGCGACGCTGGGGATGCCAAGTTGCGAGTTCGGCGAATAAGCGGGCGACAGTCGCACATTATCCGGAATCGTCGCAGAAGTCAGGTCCGCAAAGGAGTGGGAGCGGCCTCGCATGTTGGAACGCGGCTTGATACCCGCGAATTGCTCCGCAATGTTGGCTTTCGGCGCTCGAGGAGGTTGTCCGTATAGAATGGCGCTAGACGACAATCGCCTCTGATGGCGGGGATCCTTCGCGGTGAGTCCGTTAATTCCGCCGGAAAGTCGCTCGATTTGGTCGATTCGATCGACGCTGGTGATTCCCCGAGCGTACGAGCGCACCGCGGAAGACAGGCTTCCCTCAAAACCCGTCGCGATTGGCGTTGGAGACGCGGCGAAACGGAAGCTGACCTGGGGCGAGTCGAGCTGGGCCATTGGTGGTGAGGGGGAGAGACCGCCTCCGGTAGTTTGCGCGCTCGAAGTTGTCGGCGGGGGCGTCGGCGGAAGCATGAGGCCGAGAAGCAACCATTGCGCAGCATTCTCGTGGGAAGCGGGGGTGCTGTGGGACCTTGGGGGTAAGGATGGCATCTGCGGACTGGTGGCGCATTCGACGGACGTTGCTGATGGAAATAGCGCTCCGGTGGTGGTAGGAGCAGGAGGCATGAGTTTGGAGTAGCGCTGCACCGCGGATAAGATCGCCCAGGAGAGCTGAGCGGCTGGCGGAAGGCACGCGCACGCCGCGTTGGCGCTAGAAATCGCCATAGCCAGGAACAGCTCAAGAGCCTGGTCGCGAAATTGAACGAGGTTGAGGCGTCTGCGGTTGGGAGGATGGCCGCGTGGAAACTGAGATATGAAGACTGATGGGGGTCACTGGAGTTGATGAGAATGGGAATGAGGCATGTGATGAGAATTGTGACAGTGCCGACCTATTTGAAGTCGGTCAGTCAACCTTGTGGACTGCAGTTGGTTGGTGGTGGCCGCAATGGATGGGGGGGGCCGGGGGTAAGCCGAAAGTGATGGGAAAACGTGTCAAGGTGTACTGTACACGAGACGAGAAAAGACGAAATGCAACAAGAGGAGATGATTGGGATGGGATGGGATTGACGGGGGGGAGAAGGCGAAGGGGGCAGGTGAGGTGATCAGAGACGCAAGTGAGAAAAGGAAGAGGAAGAGCAGAACGGGGAGGCCAGAGAGAAGACCCTTGGCTGGAAGCGACAAATTACATGGGCACACACCACCACACGGGGGAAATAAAGCAAATGCTCGTGTCAGCTGACTTTCCTCACGTGCGACTATTTCCTTCCTCTGATCATGTCGCACCATGGCCAGCAAAGATCTTCGCCTGCAGGACTTGCGACTTCACGCGAAAACTTGACGAAGGCAAGACACTGTAGCAAATGTGGATTCAGCATGCGACTGCAAGTTCCACGCGGATAAAAAGGTGCGCTGGGCAGTCATTGTGCGAAGGTTGCATCCCACTGGCTGAACATAATTGAAACACGTCAACGCATGTGACGGAAACAGAGCCCGGCAATCAGCCGCAATTTTTGTGGAACTGTTTCACCGGGTTTAGCACCCTCGCCTCATTACAGATGCAGAGGAAAACATTTGCAGGGTGTATCGTACGGAAAGTTTCAAGAATTATGTGGTGTTCCTCTCGATGGCCGTCATCCAAGCCCTAGAAGCTTATAGGGATATGATGAGTGGAAGAAATTTGCAGTATGGATTCTCAAGTTGAAGCGCTCATCTCGTTTCAGTGACACAGAGAAGTGACTTTTGGTGTGAGAACGGGGGAGGGGTCTTTTGGTCTTCTGGGCTTTTGAGAGAATTCAAGAGGAAATCCAGCCCCCTTACACAAACAGACCCAATGTTATTGCTCTTCCAGGTGTCCTGGCTGTCGTAACTGCAGTTAACTGCAGTTACTGCCCCAGTGACAGCAGTTCATGTGGCTTAGGTGTTTGTACGGCATTTGGTACTCCTGACAATTCTTGTACCGCATCTCCCACACGCAGTGAGAACAATGTTTCTTGTCAGACCCTGCCATTCTGTTCATGAAAGAGGTTTGCCTGTCTCCGGGTGTGCTTTGTGTGCAGTGCATGGTTGGGGATGCCCTGCACTTCCAATTTCGCCCCTGCATTGTAGTTTTTGTCTGGCTCCTCCTCACCAGTCTTTTACACCCATCATGCCCCTGATGCCAGCTCCACCTCACTCTCACTCAAGGCCTTGGCCTCTAGCTGCCAAGTCCCCAGCATGCCACAGCACAGGATCATCATCTCATGGAAGAGCACCTGCAGAGGACTCTCTCTCCTGCTTGGGTGTTTGCTTGTGCCCACGCATGCACCTTCAAGGCAGCCCCCACCCACCGCCCTCCTATTCTACAACCGCAGGCCCACACCACCACAGCACAGCGCAACACACCTAAGCACAGCCAAACACAACTAATCACAACGAAGCACACCTAAGCACAGCCAAGAACAGTAAAGGACAGCAGCGGCCCATCTTGAGGTCTTCATGCGGTTCCACATGTTGTCTACCTCGCCACAGAAGAGCCACTTAAGAACTGCCAGTGGGACAACAGTAGGACACGTAAGAAAGGGGAGGACAGAGACTCGGGAGGCACTTAGAAGCTGTAAACGCCGACACCAACGGGACATGGAGAGGGGACATCAATGGGAATTGGAGAGAGGAGAAATGCAAGGGCACCATAGAAACAAGATAGGGTACAAGAAGAGGGAAAGACGAGCAACATGAGGGGAATCAAGCAGGGAAAAAAGTAAGACATCATAGAGAGCCAAACAGTATGAAGCAACCAGCACAGAGAGAGACCTTGGAAGCATTGGGGTAAGCTGTACTCACCCTTCCATTGCTGCAGCCGCACCCACTGCAGTGGCCTTTGATGCTGCCACCACTGCTGCAACCACTGCTGCCACCACTGCTGCAACCACTGCTGCCACCACTGCTGATGCTGCTGCCACCGCTGATGCCCATACTGCTGGTACTGGATAGCAGGACTTAGTGCTCTGGTGAGGGAAGAGAGGAGAACAGAGAAGAGGAGAGGGCGGGAAAGGAGGGGAATGAGAACTGAGCAGAGTAGCAACACAGCATCAAAGACACACGCGCACCGTGGAAGAATGGCAAACAAGACTTACTGGCACATAAAAAGTAGGTAAGTGGTGAAGGGAGAGGTGGTGTGCTACTTGATCTGAACCACCCACAACTTGGTGAGTGCTTGCCATCATCCTTGCGTTGCTGCAGCCACTGGTGATCCCTGCGTTGCTGCAGCGACTGTCCCCTTGAGTGCTGGAGAGAGGGGGCGAAGGATGGCAAGGAAGGAAAGAGAGAAGCGAGTGGATGAGAGGGTGAGATTGTGCCAGAAGAGATGGCAGGTGGCAGATGAAGAAGGCACAGAGACAACAAGCAACGCATGGTGCTTGCAGGGAGGTGTCTTGAACGAGAGACAGCCACACAGAAGCGGCGCAACAAGGGACGATCAGAAGCAGCAGGAGGGGAGTTGCGGAGGTAGAAAGCAAGACTCTCGTCTCTGCGCGGCGACGCCCTACGACTAACTTCACTGCCCCCCAGCAAGCACCCCCTGGCGCGTACCACACTGTGTCCGCTGCTCTGCCACTCCTGCGCCACACCTTTTCTTCACGCCTGCTGCTCCAAATTGCTCCGTTGCTCCGGCTGCCCATGCTCGCAGGCCGTAAGGCACACACACACACGCATGGGGAGAGAGAGAGAGACACGCACACAGAAGCGGCAACAACAAGGGAGGGTTAGAAATAGCAGGAGGGGAGTGGCGGAATAAAAAAGCAAGAGACACGACTCTTGCCTCTGCGCGGCGACGCCCTACGACTAACTACATTGCCCCCCTGCAAGCACTCCCTGGCACGTACCACACTCTGTCCGCTGCTCTGCCACTCCTGCACCACGCCTTCCCTTCACGCCTGCTGCTCCACGTTGCTCCAGCTTGCTCCGTTGCCCCGGCTGCCCATGCTCACAGGCCGTGAGGCACACACACACATACATGGGGAGAGAGACACGCACACAGAAGCGGCACCAACAAGTGAGGGTTAGAAACAGCAGGAGAGGAGAGGCGGAGGCAAAAGAAAGAGACATGACACTTGCCTCTGCGCGGCGACACTCTACGACTCACTACACTCCCCCCTGCAAGCACCCGCAGGCGCGTACCACACTCTGTCCGCTGCTCTGCCACTCCTGCACCACGCCTTCCCTTCACGCCTGCTGCTCCACGTTGCTCCAGCTTGCTCCGTTGCCCCGGCTGCCCATGCTCGCAGGCCGTGAGGCACACACGCACACACATGGGGAGAGAGACACGCACACAGAAGCGGCACCAACAAGTGAGGGTTAGAAACAGCAGGAGAGGAGAGGCGGGGGCAAAAGAAAGAGACATGACACTTGCCTCTGCGCGGCGACACTCTACGACTCACTACACTCCCCCCTGCAAGCACCCGCAGGCGCGTACCACACTCTGTCCGCTGCTCTGCTACTCCTGCACCACGCCTTCCCTTCACGCCTGCTGCTCCAAGTTGCTCCAGGTTGCTCCGTTGCTCCGGCTGCCCATGCTCGCAGGCCGTAAGGCACACACACACACGCATGGGGAGAGAGAGAGAGACACGCACACAGAAGCGGCAACAACAAGGGAGGGTTAGAAATAGCAGGAGGGGAGTGGCGGAATCAAAAAGCAAGAGACACGACTCGTGCCTCTGCGCGGCGACGCTCTACGACTCACTACACTCCCCCCTGCAAGCACCCCCTGGCACGTACCACACTCTGTCCGTCGCTCTGCCTTCTGCGCCCCTCCTTTGCTTCAGTCATGCTGCTCCAAGTTGCTCGCTTGCTGCTGCTGCCCATACTTGCAAGCCAAGAGACACAAACACGCATGGGGAGGGAGACACGCACACAGAAGCGGGGAAACACGGGAGGGTCAGAAGTAGAAGGAGGCGAGTGATGGCGGCAAAAGCAAGATACGCGACTGTTGCCTCTGTGCGGCGACGCCCTACGACTCACTTCACTGCCCCCCTGCAAGCACCCCCTGGCACGTACCACGCTCCGTCTGCTGCTCTCCCTTCTGCGCCTCTCCTTCACTTCAGGAGCCCGTGCTCCAGGTTGCTCGGTAGATGCTGCTGCAGTCGTCGCTCTCGTCGCGACCACCACTGCGTCGTCGCTCTCGTCGCGACCACAACTGCGTCGTCGCTCTCGTCGCGACCACCTCTGCGTCGTCGCTCTCGTCGCGACCACCTCTGCGTCGTCGCTCTCGTCGCGACCACCTCTGTGTCGTCGCTCTCGCCGCGACCACCACTGCGTCGTTTCCTTGACGCTCCTGAAACGCACTGACGCTGCACACTGAAGCATCACACGTCCACCCACACAGAGGCTTGCATTGCAGGCAATGAGAGGGAGTCACTCGCATACACTCGCATGCATTCCATGACATGACAGACACAGAGACAAGCAGCACTTGTTGGTTAGTTACCGTAGGAATCGCGAGCGACTAAGGCAAGAAAAAGTGGACTGGGACCCAGGCTGACGGCGCTTACTCTCCTCTAATCTGCTCGGCCCCCGAGAATCTATTTTCATCGCACTTACAAGGTCAGCCCGATCTGCAATCCTCGTGTGATTGCGGAAACAGAAGCTCCGTCGCTTTGATGGCGGAAAACGGCAGTACCGTAGAATTGAAGACGGAAACAACCGCGACGTCGCTTTGACCACGGAGAACTTTCTGCGCCGTTTCTTTCCCGGCGAAAACGAAAGTAACTTTGTGGTGTCAGCGGAAACAGCCGCGCCGTCGATTCGGAGCTGGAAACGGCGGAAACAGCGGGAAAGTCGTTTTCACCGGGAAAATAGCGGAAACGTTGCATCCACGACGAAAACGCTAGTGCTGTTGCATCGACGGAAGGAACAGTTGTCGGCGGAAGCAGCAGAGAAGCTTTGACGCGTAAAGCAGCGATATCGTTGCTTTTTTGGCCGGAACAAGCAGCTAAGCTTCAAAAGTTACAGCAGCGACGACGTTGCTTTTCGACGTTGCTTACTGGCTATAGCAGATGAGATATCGGCTACGTCACTAATCTTGCTCCGACGACGGAAGCAGCGGCGGCGTTGCATTGGCGGAGTGAGGTCGCTTGACGGCTTGCGATCCGTTCCTACTGGAACGCCGTCTAAAGTAGCATCTTAACGTCGTACCCGCCTTCAACTTGGTATCTGATCCATTGTATCTGACGTACAATACCTTCTTAAACTAAAATCCCAATCAGCCACGATATTGACAGCGTCCTAACTACAATTAACTTAAAATCCCATTTCTACGGTTATCGACTGCCAGACAGAGTCGTGGCTAATCGGCTTTGAGCGACTTAAGGTTAGTGCAGGCATTCGGTGAACTAGGGTCTACTCCAACGGCAGGTCGCATAGCTGGACCTAAAGCTCAGAGCGGAGATAAGCAGACGGCAGCCTGAAAGAAAGCACTGTGGTGGAGCAAGGGAAGCTAAGAATGGAAGCGAGGTGAGCATTCCAAGGAGAAAGCAAGGAAACTCCTTTCCCCCACAGAGAGGCACGGGAATATCCTCCGTCAATGTTTCAGCGGGAAGGCGGCTGATGAGCGGCAGAATTTCGCCAACTTCCGTCCCCCCCATGCCAACTCATGTGGGCGAGCACGAGCCAGAATGGATGAGGAGGTTCGCTCAGACCATCGAAGCGAAGCGGGGATTGGCTGGCCGAGCGGTTACCAGATCAGTCAGAGTGTAGTTTGAAGCTTTCGGAGGAAAACTGGAGGTTTGGTGTGAGATTCGATGAGGTTCGGAAGGCAGGTTATGGTTGAATGAAGTGCTTTCCCACTGACACCATGAGCGAATCCTCGCTGTTTTATGAACCGATACCAGAACACGTTTACCAGGAGAAGTGCATTGAACGTGGCACTGCAAAATTTTACTCGGACCCACAATGTTGTCAAACAAATTTACTCACGTGCAACTCGCTCTTCTACACCCTTTTAACAAGCTTGTACATAGTAGTGGTGGCTCATGTAACGCGAGTTTCTTCCACATCAAGCCATCTTGAAAGTCGTGACGGCTCTCTGGACGTTTCGCCGACGCGATTGGGCCTCACGTTCGTGCAAAGTGTGACGGTCTTGGCATGCCGTCCTAGTTAGTTTTTTGTTTTGCCCGCTGTCAGTTTTGCTTGCGTGGATCCAGCTGGCAGCTGAATGAACCGAAGGAGGGCCGTCTGTGGGGTGTGTGATGTGAATCCCTCCTCTTCCTCCAGAGCGACGCGACGCATTGGTACTAATGCGACGTCCATGTGCGCTCCCTCTCCACCTCATCACAATCCCTAATCTCTTGCACGTGCAAATGCACGTTTCGGTGTCCCCCCCAACTTCGAAGCCGGGCGGGTGGGACACGCCCACAGCCTCGTGGGCAGGCAACGTGCGGATAAGGGAATCCTGTACACGTGTGGCAGTTTCCCTATCAAACCACTTTGGCGATTGTACTGGACTGTATCCTTGGTACATAGTAGGTAGGGCTAGAATCCATCAGGCAGTTCACTTCAACAAGTTCTATCTTTTGTCGCCTCATCTCATGAGCGGCAGTACAAGTGCGCGAGCTTTCTGTGACGGACCGAAGTGAAGGCCTTCTCTTCTGTCTCAGCATTGCTCTGCACTTGATCCGCGCGTAGCCATTTCGTCATCCAAATCAGATTACAGTGATGAAATTCGTGGTTCCGGTGTCGGATGACAGCTTCCAGCATTTCGTTCTGAATGTTCGGCAGTTAGTCTTGGTTGGCTTGTTCAAGCCGGGTTGCGGGGAATCCGACGATCTTGCTCAGATCCTCGATAATGTCGCAAGCAACGTCTAAGATAACGGTGGAGATGTCAACTTCTACTCGGTGGACACGGATGAGTCTCCCAACTTGGGCCCGAAGCATGGAGCGGATTATACGCCTACAACTGTATATTTCAAGAATGGGAAAGCTATCCATACCTTCCCTGCGAGGTCAACCCAACCCAATCCGCTCATGAGTGCTCCTCAACCCAAGCCTAAATATACTGCTGAGCGGATTGGGTTGGGTTGACCTCGCATCAGGATGTCTGTCATTTCTCCTCTCAAATTTCGAGCCCATGCTGGGCAAAGTATCTTTTGTATAACCATATTTCCTGGGACATTTATTTACCAAACAAATCGAACCGTAATTATCCTGAGGTCTCGTTTATGTATCAAAATGAGAAACATGGCTGGTTTGAGAAACACCCAGCATCCACTAGTCTGGCAGGATTGGCTAGAGCAAAACGAGCTCCACCAGCAGAGAGGACAATATGCAATATCTCCCAATTTTCTGTGCCCCTAGTGACGTCCTGACTTGTTAATCCTGGTAGCTTGTTGGGCTGAAAAGCCCTTAGGATCTTTGCAGGGGTGAACTCTGAGTAGAGTTGGTGTAGTAGCAAAAGCGTTAATTAAAGGGTTGTGAACCACCTTGCGCTAGTATGTGAGGGCAAAGTAAGTTGATTAAAGCAAAGAGATACAAGATTGTGAAATTGAACGAGAATTAAATGACTAAAGGAAAGTTGGGTACAAGTGCAAACCCTAGAAAGTCGTACCCCATATGTGCTACCCCACTATAGCCTATAGTAGCTATGTCATATAAATCTGACATACCCCCATAGGCAAAGTGGGGGAGAACAAGGGGTCACAAGACCAGTCAAGCAAAGCAAAACAAGATCAGGGTGGATCACAAAGTCACCACACATTCCGAGCACAATTTCAAGACCACAAGGCCAGTTCACATGCAGGATTACATATATATATATATATATGTACATATAGCTAAACAAGCAAGAGCAGGTGCATATATATATGCAACAGTACAAACAAGGTCAAGGGGTGAGCAAGTGAGGCAAGATAGACACAAGACCCAGCTGAGTACAGAAGCGCTGATGATCACAAGGCGCAAGCGCCTTGGTGAAGATATCAGCAGTGTTGGCCTCAGAGGCCACGTACGCAAGGCGCAGCTGACCACGCTGCTGTAGCTCACGAGCAAGGAAGTAGCGGAGAGCAATGTGCTTCGTTCTGTGCTCCACTCTCTGCTCTCGACACAAGGCCAGCATGACCTTGTTGTCTACGTACAGCACTGGAGGAGAAAGAGGCGGCTCTCCGAGGTCAGTCAGCAGGTAGGTGAGCCAGCGAAGCTCCTGTGTAGCCATGGCCCCGGCGTAGATCTCAGCCTCACAACTGGAGCCGAGAACAGAAGACGAGCGGGTAGCCCGCCACGTGACAGAACCGGAACCAAGGCTAAAGGTGTAACCCTGTGACGACCGCTGCGTAGCCTGGTCGTCAGCCGAAGAAGCGTCTGCGTGCCCAGTGAGGACCACTGGACTCTGCCCTCCAAGCACAAGCCCCATGCCCGACGTACTGCACAAGTAGCGCAACAACCTCTTCGCTGCAGCCATGTGCTCCGGTCTGTGTCTCCCAGGAGCAACATAGCGTGCTAGAATGCTAAGAGGGTATGCAAGGTCAGGTCGTGTGCAGGTCATCAGGTACACGAAGCAGCCAACAAGCTCTGGGTACGGGCCACTCGACTCTACCGACTCATCCGAAGGCAGAGCTGAGAGTGAGTGGCGAGTAGGCAAAGGAGTGGCCTCAGGCGAGGAGTACGTGAAGCCGAAGCGCCGAAGGACCTGCTGCACCATGTGTGACTGAGTCAGGGTAATGGTGCGGCGTGCTCTGTCCCGAGTGATCTGCAAGCCAAGGTAGCTGCGCAGTTCACCCAGGTCAGTGCACGTGTGTCTCTTCTGCAGCTCGGACTTCACGTGGGCGAGTCCAGCAGTGTCAACTGTGGCAAAGACCAAGTCGTCGACGCACACGAGGATGTAGAACGGCGGCAAAGAAATGTCAGTGCGCAGAAACAGCGACGGGTCGGCAGTAGAGGGAGAAAACCCAAGAGCCGCAAGTGTAGTCCTCAGTGTGTCGTGCCACTCACGCGGTGCCTGGCGGATACCGTAGAGTGGCCGCCGGAGGCTCCACTGGGTATCAGAAGGGAACGACCTGTCAGATTTATATGACATAGTTGCTGTAGGCTATAGTGGGGTAGCACATATGGGGTACAGGGTTTCTAGGGTTGTATTTGTACCCAATCTTTCCTTAGTCATTTCATTCCTGTTTTCCTTGCTTCACATGGTATAGAGCGGGTCCTGCCTTAGGACCGTTTTTTTAGGGCCCACTGAAGCGCGCCCCGAGGCGCGCCTTTTTTTTAGCGACCCCCTCGGGTCGCCTTTTCCCTCGCGGCCCCGCTGTCCCTCAGACGCGGCCCCGCCACCTCTCCTGATCGCGGCCCCGCCGCCTGTTTGACGCGGCCCCGCCGCCTCCCCTGACGCGGCCCCGCCGCCTCCCCTGACGCGGCTCCGCCGCCTCCCCTGACGCGGCCCCGCCGCCTCCCCTGACGCGGCTCCGCCGCCTCCCCTGACGCGGCCCCGCCGCCTGTTTGACGCGGCCCCGCCGCCTCCCCTGACGCGGCCCTGCCGCCTCCCCTGACGCGGCTCCCCCGCCTCCCCTGACGCGGCACCGCCGCCTCCCCTGACGCGGCCCTGCCGCCTCCCCTGACGCGGCTCCGCCGCCTCCCCTCCCGGCCCGCCGCTGCTCCTGCCGGCCCGCCACTGCACCTGCCGGCCCGCCGCTGCACCCAGCGGCCCGCCGCCTCTGACGGCCTCGCCGCTGCACCTGCCGGCCTCGCCGCTGCACCTGCCGGCCCGCCACTGCACCCTACGGCCCGCCACTGCACCCTACGGCCCGCCGGCTGCACCTGCCGGCCCGCTGCTGCACCTGCCGGCCCGCCGCTGCACCTGCCGGCCCGCCGCTGCACCTGCCGGCCCGCCACTGCACCGGTCAACCCGCCGCTGCACCTGACGGCCCCGCCCCTGCATCTCCTGGCCGAGCCGCCCCAGCAGCCGAACCGCCCGTGAGCCGAGCCGCCCGACGCCGAGCCGCCCGGGAGCCGAGCCGCCCTGCACCCGAGCCGCCCAGCCGCCGAGCCGCCCGGGAGCCGAGCCGCCCTGCGCCCGAGCCGCCCAGCAGCCGAGCCGCCCAGCACCCGAGCCGCCAGGTCGCTGAGCCGCCTTT